CACATTTTATGACTTGCCGAAAAATATGATGTTTAATACAGCTGAAATGAAGAGGGAGGCACCTATTGGACCAGAAAATAAGGATTTTAGTTTTGGAAATACTAAGTTTGAGATGATCACTACCTATTTATGCAGAGATATTAAGTAAACAAGATTCTTTAGTTCAGAAAAGAGGTTGTATTTGATAAAATCTTAAAGCAAAGGCAAGAAGAACAGGAATTTCTGGCCAGTCTCTGCTTTGAGACGCTATACTGGAGATCCTTTCTCAAAAATATAGACCCTAGCTAGAAAGTTCAGCAATCCTTCCAAACTCTAAATAAATAAAATGGATCCAGATAATTTAACAAAGGATTTGCTTATATTAATTTTTGCCAAATTTACAAACAATAGTACTTCTTTTGTATGCTAACAGTATATTCTAGGCTTCAGTGACAATTTGGTGTTTTGCTATTTGAATCACCTACATAATAGAATGAGTAGTTTTCCTGCCGATTAAAAACATACTTCATATTGATCACCTTTAATGTACAGTTTAATTGACATCTTAAGAATGACTGTCCTAAAAGAATCCATAGGTAAAATGAAGAAAGCTACTCCATAAAATACAGCAATAGTGTACTGCCAAGATAGCCCAAAAGGTAACAATACTTTGGAGGGGTAGACTTCACAAACAGTCTGGGGTATTTAGAGTATTCTAAAACATGTATGAATTTTTGTTACCAATCATCTGATCAATGAAACACACTTGATAAAGTGGTTCTGTAATTACCGTGCAGTTTGTGGAACATTAAAAAACTGAGCCTAGGAAGCCTGGCAAAGAGAAAATCCTGGAAAACACTGGCTTCTCAGGCTGGAAAAGTAGCCTACTGATAGAGTCCTGACTGCTCTTAAAAAGACCTAGCTTGGTACCCAGCACCCACAGCAAGCAACTCACAAGCACTTGTAACTCTATGTCCAGGGGACCCAACTCTCACTTCTGGTCTCCTCTAGGACCCTTACAACAAACAATCACATACAAATCCATAAGTAGAAATAAAAATAAATTTGAAAAACAAACACACACATACCAAAAAAAAAAAAAAAAAAAAAAAAAAAACCCTAGCATCCCTGGAAGAACTAGTAATGTTCCTGATCATAATAATTCCTTTTCTTTTTTAAAACAGCAAAGACAAAAAAGAAGAATATAATGATATGGGAGTTGAAATAGTTGATGAGCAGAGCCTATTCTGAGATATATAATGACTTGGAAGGGAGTATGTATATTGAAACAAACTCTTGGTGTTTGAAACACAACTCCTTTCAGAAATAGGTGATCTACGTAACCTTCCCATTGTGTAGTTTTCCTGCCAGATAAATACTGCTACTAACTATTTAACTGCCATAGTTTTTCTATTTGATGTATATTCTACTACCTACTTGAGTTGTAACTGTAGTGACTAAATAAGTTTGTCCTTCTAAAGAATTTCAGCAATACTAAGTAAGCACAGAAAATATGTTACCAACATTATTTCTGTTGTGTACCTTGTACACCAAAATACCAAGGCCAATAGAACACTCCTTGGGAAAAAAAAAAAAATGCCCTCTAACTTGTTCATTCATTGGACATATAAAATTTGATAAACATTTTCCTTAAACAGAAATTAAAAGTTCACACTTTATAATTCTTTGGTTGTCTCCTCTGATTACTCAGAACAGGGACTTTGATCTAAACCTTTTAGCCCTGAGATTCATATTCTAGTGCCTTTAACAAAGAAACCAGCATACATAAATTGAGGTATTTATGAACATAATAAGGATGCCTTTTTTTTTGTTCTGTCTCTTGACAAAACTCTTTCTGATATGAAGTAGATTCTTTTGCTAAAACAATTTAGATATCACTAGAATATGATATGAGAATAGTCATGGTATGAGAATAGTCATGTGAGGATAAAAGCATATGACATATTGACAATTTTGAAGAATAAAAGGATACAATGTTCATAAAGAAAGCCACAGCAGAAAAACGAATTACCTGACACCAGGCTATCATCTTCACATCATCCCTATCAGCTAACAATTACTCTGTGTCTAGGTCTATAGCAATATATGTCAAAAATCCTTTACATGGCTGAGCCAGACTCCACTCTCAATGGTAAATAGTGAATTAATAGACTATTGGGCAAACTCTCTCAATAGAGTAATCAAGCTATCATGGTTCAAAATGAAGAAACAATGATGAAGATGAACTTCAATTATTAGCTTACATTAGGGATGAATAGAGGTAAAGGTGGCTTGAACAGACATGACAATTGTATAATTTGATAGCAACACACAAAACTGAAAGTAGAAAATTAAGCTCTAGTTATCAAAGCAGAATATATGCTGAGTAAAGAAAGGATCATTACATCTTTTCTCATAAGCTGTGTGAAAACAGTCATGTAACTGGGGAAAGAACCAACACTGTACATCTGCTTGTTATTCTTCAATTCTACCCCTTCTGCACTTTACTTCATGGGGAGAGAAGTTCATTATATGCAATTTTTATTATAGATGTTTAGAGAGTTAAAAGATTGTGCTAAGACTTCATATGAATTTGCTACATTTTGTTAATAAATAAAAGGAAGAACTTTCTAAAGCAAGAATCCATGCCTGTAATCCCAGCTTCCTAGAAGGCTAAGTCAACAGGATTGCAAACCAGAAGACATCCTTGGCAGCCTAGTTGCCCAGGAAACAAAGGACATCATGCTGCTTTTAGGCATCTGCCTCCTCAACCTCTCTTTTCTAAGAGAGTTCCTCAGTTGTTCTTGGTCTCATGACCCTGATCTCCTGTAACACCACTTTTGACTACTGTAAGGCAAGGTCCTGCTATGTAGTTTCAGGGTCACACTGAACCCAGACTAGAGATCCTCCTGTTCAGCCTTTCCAGTGCTGGAATCACCTATATGTGCCACCACATCTGCAATGACATTTTTGAGATGCACTAGTCAACTATATCCTAGAATTATCTCTATTCACATTTTGATGTTTTCTCTTAATAGAGTTAGGTTGTTTTGTTACTATTGTTTGGTAAGAGTGTCATAAAAGTCGGGTGCCCTTCTTTGTGTTTCAATCAACATTATATTGACCTTGACCACTGGTGATAGTGGTGTCTGGCAGGTTTCCTTCAGAAGGATTTGTGACATATATTGCTACATATTACTATTTCGTATGTAATAGCATCTCCAAATAGATACTTTAATACTATGTAAATATACAGTTTTTCTTAAAATTAAGGTGATTCTATAGGATTTCAGAAAGAACTAAAATATGTGAAATATTTTTGTTTTGTTTTTGTTTTTGATATATTTAAACTCTACTTGATGAAATGTTTTTTTCTAAATTTAAAATACAAAGAGAAAGATTTTTTTTTTTCTCCCCACAACATTGCTGACTGGCCAAGCATGGTGTGCCTACTGGCATACTCATGGCAAGTCAAGTGCTTTCTAACTGGATCTGAGATCTGTCCTGGAGGATAGAATTCACTTCAGGTGCTGTCAACCTGGGCAAAAGCCCTTGCCTTAGAAGGCCATGGGCCATACGGGAAAGTACAGCTGTTATGTTGCTACATTGACATGATATGCCTATTATAATTGTCTCTAAATAAAAATTTGTTTGTTTGACCTCAAAATAATTATGCCTATCCCCTGTGTTGGTTAGCTTTATGTCAACTTAACACAAGATGGAGGACTCTCATTTGAGAGATAATGTCTGCCTAAGACCCTGTAGGCAAGTCTACTAGGTATTTTCTTGACTAATGTGAGAAGGCCCAGTTCACTGTGGGTGGTGCCGATCTGAAACAGGTAGTCTTATGAAAGCAGGGTGAGCAAGCCATGAGGAGCAAGCCAATGACTAGCGTTCCTTCATGTTTCTTCACTCTGTTTCAGTTCCTGCCCTGAGTTCCCTCAGTGATGGGAGTATTACCTGGGAATTGTAAGCTGAGATAAAACCTTCCTTCCCAAGTTGCCTTTGGCCATGGTGTTTTATCACAATAGAAATACTAAGACGTCCCCATATGTTAGTACTGGCAGCTCTGATCAGAGATGCTTTTTTTCTTAGTGATACTGGAGATATTGGAGAGAGTCACAGTATCATTAAATGTTCAACCACAAATGAGATATCTACATCATCCCTTCCAAGAGCCAGAAAACAACATAGAGAAGAGGGCCGCAAGAATACAAGAGTCAGTGTATGGAGTAGAGTGCTATAGAACACTGTTTTCTGATATCAAATGACTATTCACTCTTGAACTCACAAAAGCTATGATTACCTGATAAGAGCTGCCTAAAATTGGGTTCACAGATACCCTGTCATGAAGTGGGGAAGACTTTTTTGTAAGGCCCAATCCTGATTCATGGAGTGGTGGTGGGAGGAGACATTTTCTCTAGTGGTAGTCACTGATAGAGTAAATAATTTCTTACCTATCTGTGCTCTTTTAGCAACCCTAATGAAATTCATTAGGTCACCACTACCAACAACAAAACCAAACCAAAACAACGAAAACAAACAGGAAAATAGATGGCGAACTCAATGGCAAGAAAAGGTAGACTAGCTGAAATGGCAAGAGTAATGGGGGATGAATATGATCAAAATGTATCACAGATATATACAAAGAGACCACAATGAAACTCATTGTAAAATATACAATTAATATATGTTCATACAACCATTTAAAATATTTATTATTTTTAGCTAATGTGTATATGTGTGGGTATGTGAGTATGTGCACATGAATGCCTGTGTCTGGAGGACAGCGGTGGTGGATCCTCCTGGAACTGGAGTTATTGGTGGTTATGAGTCACCTGATTTGGGTGCTGGGACCCAAACTTGGGCCCTCTGGAACCAACAGTATGTGTCCTTAACTACTGAAACATCACTTCAGCCCAATACAAACATTTTGTAAGATTGTTTTGTTTTGTGAGTGTATTCAGTTAATATTAATCAACCATAATATCAAAGAATGACATAAATGAAATATTACTTACATAATTATGCCTTTTAAAGATATCCGATGGACTGGTGGTGAGGATTTTGTCTCCTTCCAAACCAATTACTCTTTTACAAATATTTGATTTTGGGTCACTTGGGCTTTTTGCAATTACAATGTCACCTCTGAAGAGCAGAAAAAAGGAAAATAAGTATTAATATTATTACTAAGCATACATAGGACTGCTTTAATAATTTTATAAGGCATCTTAGAGAAATACACACCCTTTATCCTATCAAACACTGACCCTGCCACATATTAATCATATTTGGAAACCATTATAACTGGATTTAGGGTCAGGGCCTAATTGGAGTCATAAAAATTCTATATATATAGCTACTGATAATTTCTAAAAATCTCATGAGACTTATACCTACTGTGTGTTATTTCTGTATTCAAGTAATGCATAAAAAGCTATTAGTAGTTGACTCTAGAGTACTAAAAATGAAGAAACCATCTATTTCTCAAAAGTTCAAAAATTAAAGAATAACACTGTATAACTTATGTAATTCATTTAAGTCATAATATACAGTAAAGACCATCATTTAAGGGAAAATTAGATACAACCAAATAAAACACTAAAAGGTAAGCAAACATATACTATAAGATAGAATATGATGTCAAATATATAAAAGTAATATTCTCCATGGTAAGAGAAAAATAAATGAATACATAAAGGTTTTATTCCTGGCATGGTGGTACATGCCTGTAATCCCAAAAATCAAGAAGGGAAGAATTGTAATTCAGAGCTAGTATAAACTACAAAGCACATTCAAAGCCAATCACAGCTACATACTGAAACTCTTTCAAAACACCCACACCTGCACACTTATCACAACTGATACCCCAACCAAACAGAATGTAATATTTTTTCTGCCTAAAACAAGGAATATATGAAATATGTTAACATTTTTCAATATTTAACATATTTACTAAATGTATGTGATTCCAGATATAATTTATATACTTTGATTTATAATGAAAGATACAAATTTCAAAATAACATACAAATCTATAATAAAAAGGGAAGCTTAAAATTCAAAAACCAAATCATAGAAAAGCACGGCTATTATCCCAGCATTTGGGAGGCTGAAGCAAGTTCAAGGCTATATAGTAAGGTGAAGGCTAATTTGGGCTACATTACAAGACTTTGCCCCAATAAACTAAAATAGAAAAAAGAATAAAGAAGCATGATCACTGCTATACTATAAGTACTCAACAACTTCTAAGCATTTTGGTAACCCTCACCCCAAGGTAAGAGGGTTGTGGATATTGCTCAATGACAGAGTGGCTTGCCAGGCATACAGGAGGTCCCATGTTTGTTCCCAGCAATAAGAAAAAGGCAAAAGGTGAGGCTAATTAGTTACCATTAATAAAATTAGGTCTAGGGGAAGTTAAGACAAAATTTTCCCTGACAGCTAAAATGAAGGAGGATAGGCAGATTTTATGTAAAAGAATGAAAGACACCATTATATCAGAATCTTACAGGCAACACAGAAATTAGTATTGACAACAACCACACCATGAGGCCTTTCTTTATAAAGCTGAATGGTATCAAGCCATTCAGTTCTATAATTGGGCCAGGAAAGCACTGTTTTCTTTTGAAATGTCTGGAACTATTTATGTGAAAAACTCTGCAAAGATTGCTAAGCTATGACAACCTATCTAGTTAGTGTGTCTTGAAAGAAATAATTTTTCAAGGGTGCTTTTGAAGCTTACATTATTTGATACAACAATCAATATAACCCTTAAAACAAAGTCTGCAACTAACCAGATACTCTGAACTCTTGCCTCCTTTAAAAGGACTTTTAAACCCCACTAAATAAACAGAACCAGAACATTAACATAGTTGGTGTGATGCTTTGTGAATCCCAGAACTTGGGAGATTGAGGCAGAAGGATGACTACAAGCATGAAATCACTCTGGACTAGATAGTAAGCTTCAGGCTAGCATATGTTGCTCTATCTGAAAATTCCAAAAACAAGTTATTGAAATTAAAATATAGTTGCAACACCCTTTCTGCTACTAGATGGTGAGCTGTTCAAATGCAAATACCTCACACATTGTATCAATGCTATAATGTAAAACATACCTTATAAAGTAGATGCCCATTAGCTATTTGTTGCAAGAATTAGTAATAGGAGATTGATTGTCTCAAGTAAGAGTAATCCCTAAAGGTAAAGGACAAGAGACCTGTGTACATTGGATACCACGGTCAGACTTTTATTCTTACATAAAAACAGAAGTTTGGTCTCTCCTTTTAATAAGCAGCCATTAATAAGGATCAGAAATTCATCCCACTGAAATCTCAGTCCTAAACTGTAGCAAACAGAATGAGGGCAGTAATATTTTCAAAGTAGCAGTATCAACTGCCTACCTTGGTTCTTGCTTCATATGAATGCCAGATTCCAAGGTATATTACACACTGGTGAGACTCCTGAATGAACAGCACAAAATGAAATCTTCAAAGAACTTTAATTTCCTGAATATACTTATTTATATTACTCACCTGATTGCTAAGAGTATTTTAAATAAAGCAACACTAAGCTATTTATTTTAAAATCTACTCAGCCAGTCCAGCACACTGTTAAGGACATTTAAGAGTTACCACGTCACTGGCATTCAGCAGCAGCTTGCCTTCAAGCTAGTGAAGGTAATTCACTAGGCTATTTTTTGTAAAAGTCAAAAGACAAATGGAGATAACTAAGCCTGTTATGTAAATTTTAATATACAATCCCAAATCTACAAGCATGTTTCTTGAGATTATTACAAGTAAAAGATCTAAACAAGTTCCTTGGGACCTTAGTGGGCCATACGGCTTGACTAAGAGAATTTTGTAAGCAGAATCAAGGGTGGGGTGACATTGCAGTTAAAGGAAAAAACAGCCCCATACTCTTCTTGATTTTCCATAATGGGAACTGGGATACAACAAAGGAACAAGGAGAGCCTAACCCTCCCTAGTACACCAAATACCACTAGAGGGAATCATTTGTGGGTTCCAGAGATAAAAGCTGGCACGGACCTTTTCTAATTCTATAACAAATTTTAAAGAAGTTAAATTTAGAAAATATACTAAATTACTAATATTTGACATCCATTCAAAAGGAGCTCAAACTCATAGTGACCCTTGAGATAAACAGTAGCACACGGTTTTAAGCCACTATTTGGAATAGGGTTTTGGAAAATTTAGTACACAGTATTTGCCAAGTAGTTACTCAACTTAATAATTCATTTATCAATCTGGAGAACCATATCAGATCAAATTCTTCAATCTCAGGCACACACAAAGCCATAACTACAAATCACTGAATAGTAATCATGACTCCATACAAAGAATAAACAAGATAGTCATCAATGGGAGTACAAACTAACTGTAACTCTGATGTGGGGAGCAATACAGTCCATGAGACCCCTGCTCCTGATTTAAAACACTTCAGGAACCTATAAAGAGAACAAGACTTTCGCATATATTTTAAGAAGGACTGACTGCTAACTGTGCTGCTCTGGATGATAAGGGAAGAGACACAGTAACCACAGACACTGTACATGCTGACTACTAAAACGTTCTCAAAGACACAGAAAATACTCGATTCAAGATTTTTGTCTACTTATTATATATAAAAGAATTTTAAACACAAAGTTAGAAATTACAGAAAATACATTTTATATATCTTTCACTACAGTTATATTCATGATAGAAATTTACCTTTGGATACCATGAAAATGTCGGCTAAGATTTTCTGCAAAGACAATATCTGAATTTTGAATTGTGGGTTCCATTGATGGTCCAGAACACTGAAAAGAAATGTAACCTTCTGAGTTCAATCTCTTTAAATTTAACAGAAATCATTTGGGAAGACTCAAAAGAAAGAAAAATGGGTAAATGATCTTCCTGGAAATAGACCATAATATAATTGTTTGATGTTACTTTATAATAAACATAAAGTAACATGTCTTTGCTTCTAATTTTGGCCATCCTATAGAACACTAAACTCCACTGGATCATGTCTCAGTTTCACAGCTATGTAAGTTTCCATTACCAAGAAGAGTACTTAGCATAATGTTAATGCTTGATACATATTTGTTGCATGCATGATGAACTTGGTTTTCTCAAACATCACTTAGTACCCATTGTGGCAATTTTTAAAGCAACATTACACCGTTCATTCTCTAAAATCCATTTTCCTTGTCCAAGAAGATAAGTACCCATAAGACTTTATGGGACCAGAGCTTATATTCTCTACTGAAAACCACCACAACAATGAAATGTACTCTAAAGATATTCATGTCTGTATGCCAGAAGAGAACAATTTTGATATATGCCTAATTCTGGAATACTGACTGACACTTGACATAAACAGCACATTCTCCATCTACTCCATCATTTATGTGCAAATACAACATTTACTCAAAATTTTCTACTTAGGCAAAATAATAAACATTTAAATAAAATAATAAATAAAAATGAAGTTTAGGTTTGCTACTTCTACAAGTACCAATGTCATTGACAACACTTAATGAGAAGAGTGTTAACTAAATAAATTTATATCCTTCACTTCAGCTCAAACAAGGGTTACTATAACTACCAATTTTTCAGGGTAAAACTAATATAAAAATAACAACAGCCCCCCAAAAAACCTATTGGCTGTCCAGTCAGCCAAATATCATTTCATTTACATAACAAAGATTTGAAAATTCTGAGTTTTCAGAATTGTGAGCATTGCTTAGAGTAAGAGATAGTATTAACATTTTGTTACTAATCTTAGCAGAATAATCATTTGCTTTAATGACAAACTGAAAGTTATGAGTAGATTTTAGAATCAGACAAATTTGTTTTGAAATTCTACCACTCCTTACTTAGTACTGTGGGAGCTGGAATGAGTTAGTTTTCTGAGCTTGGGAGTTTCTTCTTGAGTAGAATGAATTCCTCAAACAAATGCAACAGACAATGTAATGTAGTAAATTTACAGCATCAACCATATTCTAGAAAGCACAAATAGCACTCAAATTATCAGGCTATCAAGAGGACTGTTTGTACCCTGCCAAATACAAAACATAAAAGTAAAGATTCAATGCTGCTTACATTTTATTCTGGTGCCAATGAAAACATACTCTTTTTGCTTGTCTGTTCTGTTTTTATTATTTACATCGTGTGTGTGTGTGTGTGTGTGTGTGTGTATACATGTGCACATGCATGAACACATGTATATATGTTTGTACTTGCTACAGAGTACTCATGGAGGTCAGAGGACAACTTGTGAGAATTCTCTTTCCACCTTGTGTGTTCTGGGTATCAGATTTGGTGGCAAGCACATTACAAACTGAGTCATTTCTGTCTCTGATTGTTTTTGAGATAAAGTCTGTTTTGTTTTGTAGCTGTGTGGGGGTTGGGTGGGGGATATTTATGACAAAGTTTCATTATGCATCCCAGGGTGGACTTGAACTAAGTATGGAGCCCAGCCCACCCTTGAACTCACAGTCCAGTCCACTGCCTTGGCTTCCAGATTACAGGTATGTGTCATTACACCCAGTTATCAATATACCCTCTAATATCCCAATATTTAGAAAGAGTTTATATTTTGATTTCCATAAACTTGTTTCAAGGAAAAGTTCTTTAAAAAAATACATGTTTCATTCTATTAAAATTATCTATATTTTAAAATGAAATTCCTGAATGTAGAAACTTACCATTACAACACCGCCAACGTATTCAAAAGCACAATGAGCTATACACCCATACTGAATGGTATAGCCAGCAAGTCGAAAGGCCTTTCCCAGAATACCACGAAGCATAGTTCAATGTTGATTCTGTCACCACTGGCCTGACTGTGAATTTAAAGTTTCATGATCAGCATTTCTTAAAACAATTCAGAAAGAGCTCTAGTATAAAATGTCTCCCTACACACAGAACACATGAACACAAGCCAGGTTATCTTCATCTGTCACCGATCATTTGGGTGACTGAGTTCATGACTTAGATAACCAGCATCTCAAAAATCACCTTATAAGCCTATTACTAAGGGGAAGCTCCTTAGATAAGAATGAGCACACCAAAACAGCTAGCCCAATCCCTAAAATCTTTTTAAAAATGTAACCTTAGAAACCACCAAAATCATACAGAGCCATTAATAACACATAATTTAATCTCTCTTATGGGAAAGAGCATGCGCGCATGTGCGCGCGCGCACACACACACACACACACACACACACACACACACACACACACACACACAGGATACCATTATCCTTCTATTACATGTCTCTCTTATTTAATGACTGAGCTTAAGTCAATGCTTAAAATCTTAAAATCCACCTTTGCTTTTTTTCCCATGGATCCTGTAATTCTTTTCTTTATCACATAAACTCCAGCTTCATCTGAGAGGATATTTCAGAAAAGAATTCCAGCTGCAACAGACAGCAGTATAGTGCAGTGTTTCCTGTTTTGGCTGGCAGCTACTGACTACTAATTTAATAAACACACAAGATACACACACACACACACACACACGTATATAGACATATATATGCACACACACATATATAATTTTTTGTATGCCAATGCTGACAGATGCATGCCATGGCAGACATGTGGAAGTCAGAGGACAACTTGATGGAGTCAATTCTCTCCTTCTACCATGGGTTGAGGGTACTGAACTCAGGGTATCCAGTTTGTGTAGTTAGATAAGCCCTTTTAGGTGCTGAACCATGCCAGGTATCTAGTCCTTTCTTTTGAAAAATTTTTGACAACTGTTTAAGGAACTTGTCCTTCCCAGATTCAATCCCTTGTCCAGCATAATCCCCAGCAGCCTAGGATTACAGGTATGTGCTACCAAGTCTGGTTAATATTAAATTTATTTTCTCTTTCTTCTTTTTATTGGGGAGGGGTGCTGAAACAGCCTTACTCTAAAGATCACAGAGGTCTTAAACTCAAGATGATCCTTCTGCCTCTGCCTCCCAAGTGCTGAGATTACCGATATATACCACCAAACTCAGTCAAACATCAAATTTCTTAATATTATGGTAGCTAGAAGGTTGTTTAAAGGAGGTAAGCACTGATTATTCAGGACAAATATCACATTTGCAATATCTTTTCATGTAGTTCACTTTTATAACTGATCATATATAAGCAGACAAATAGATATAAATTATTTCCTATAAATCTAAACATATGTGTATGGCTAGCTTGATGTCAACTTGACAGAAGTTAGAGTCATCAGAGGAGGGAACCTGAATTGAGGAAATGCCTTCATAAAATTAGGCTGTAGGCAAGTCTGTAAGGCATTTTCTTAATCTGTGATTGATGAGGAAGATGCAGCCCATAGTGGGAGGTGCCATGCCTGAGCTGGTGGTCCTGGGTTCTATTAGAAAGCAGGCTGAATGAGCAATGAAGAGCAAACCAGTAAGCAGCACTGTTCCATGGCCTCTGCATCAGTTCCTGCCTCCAGGGTCCTGACTTGTTTGAGTTCCTGTCCTAACTTCCTTTGATAATGAACTGTGATGTGGGAGTGTAAGGGAAATAAACCCTTTCTTCCCCAACTTGTTTTTTGTTACAGTGTTTTATTACAGCTGTAGTAACTATAACTAAGACAGTATGTATATACAGGGGATTAGGAAAAGTTACTAAGGAAAATATTTATTATTAAATTCAGGTTACATATATATGAATGTGTACTGTCTTCTCAACTTTCTTTGTAAAAAAAACAAAAAAACAAAAAAACCTTTTTTATTATGATGACATTATAGCCTAGACTAGCTTTAAACTTGTAATCCATTTACTTCAGCCTCTTAACTATTGAGATTACAATCATGTGTTACCAAACACAGCTGTGAATAAACCTTTTTCAGAATAAACTCTTTGGCTAACAAAGAGGTGTCTTCAAGTCATTCATTAACTGATTCAACAAGTATTAATTAAACTACTGCTATATTGCAAGCATGATAGACTAAGTTCATTCAGTTCTAGAAATACAATAGTGAACATGGTGCCCATCTTCATAAAGCTTATAGTTTGTGGGGGCTGATACTATATACACACAAAGGAAACAAATAAAAGCATAAAAATATCAAGTGATTTCTATAATGAAAAAAACATGATAAAGTAATTGAAGACAACAAGTTTTCTGTTTAGGCTGTATCAGGAATGATTTTGCTAACTAAGAGAAATGCTACTGATGTTAGTTTCTAAAAGAAAAACATAAGAAAATTGTAAGCAGACAATGGCAAGTTAGTTACAGATGTGTTATAGTTTATGAATGCTGTAACAAATTGTCATAATTCTAGCAGTATAAAACAACATGAATATATAAACTCATAGCTCAGAACTCTGCTACAAATCTCACTGGTTAAAACCAAGGTGTTAGCAAGGCTCTATGTCCCTTCCAGATGCTTTGGGTAAAAATTCATGTCTTGGCCTTTGCTAGCTTCTAAAGCCACCAGGATTCTTTGCTTCAGGGTCCCTGTCCTTCAACCCCAACACCTTAAATTTCTCCATCACTACATGGTCCCCTTCCCAATCTCTAACTCACTTACAAAGACCTTTATAACTATATTCATCTCATAGTAATCTATGATGACTGACATTGTTATTTTAATCCTATCTTCACACTCCTTTTAGCATGTACAATAAAGTGTTGCCCCGTTCAGGGATTAGTGGATAGAGATCTTTAGAGGGCCGTTCTACCTATACTAACATATCAAACTAAAAATTATCTAACTGTATTCCCAAAATGCAGAAAATGGCATCACATGGCAACCTTTAAGTATAAATTCAAAGTCTTGCAGCAAGCCCAAGATATATAGTTATATACTTTGAGAATGTGGCCCTGTTCTATATTAACAAGTACTCCAGGTGACTCTAAAGTATAGGAACATTTGAAAGCCACTGTTCTAAATTCTCAAGGAGGCAATGGTCACCTGTAGCCTCAGGAACCTTGCTCATCTAGTCATGCACTGCCATGTGCTACATAACTTACCATATCTGAGTTGTGCTGAAAGCAGAGCTGGGGAGCGTGAGCATTGAAAATTGAACCAGGCTGCCAAGCACACCAGGCAGCACCTACCACTGAAACACAACCCCACACTCTCACTTCTTTTACTTTGAAACTCCTTCTCACTAATTTGTTGAGGCTGGCTGGCCTGACTCACCTTGTAGCCCAGGCAGGCCTTGAATCTGCAAATTTCTTGTTTTCACTTCCCGAATAGCCAGGATTACAGGCTTGTGCCTTCAAGACTGTGCTTCAGGATTATAATTCTACCTTTGAAACAGAAGATGACAGTTTTTATTCCCTATTATATTTAAATGTTCTAAAAACTAAGTCATTAATATAACAAATCAATTCCTTGTAAAGAGTTTGCACTTTATCAAAATAATTAGTGGGAAAGATAAGCAAATTTAAAAATGTTCATAAATGGTGACTGTCACATACTATAACAAGACATACAGAATGATCTTACTTAGAAATATAGCAAAATTAAAGTAATATTGATCTTTCCATAGTATTCTACATTCCTGATACGAAGATCTGTAACAGTTAGAAAGTATGCTGGAACACATAGTTGATAATAGTTTCTAAATTCTCCATCTATGTTATACATCTCTCGCTTTCAGTGAAAGAAATGTTTTAGTAGTTATCAAGCATATATATGGGAGTCACGTGGAAAAAAGAAAAATTGGACTTGACAATAAACCAACAAGAAAAACTGGACAATGTGAACTTTGGAAGCCAGATACAAGTTAAGGGATTCCTCAATCTTTAGATATTTGGAGGCATAGACATCAACTCTAGAATCCTAATTTAGATCCAATGGCTGAAATAAACTGAGTGATTTCAGACTTCTCCAAACCTCAAGTAGCTCACAAATGATGACTTAGACATGGATTTCTTTGAGAAAGCATTTCATTTCAACATAAAGAAAAAATTTCACGTATTAAATATTGATGCTACTGGTTTTCAAGCATTTAAGCAGACAACTAAAAAAATGATTAATACTATTTTGTTATCATTACTGCACTGATTACAAGAAGATTCACTGCCATTTATATAAATGTTTCTATTATGAGGGGTGTGGTGGGTCTAAGTCCTGGGAAGTGGAGGTAAACAGATCAGGAATTCAATGTCATCTTCAGCTATATAAGGAATTTTTTTTTTTTTTTTTGGTTTTGAGACAGGGTTTCTTTGTAGCGTTAGAGCCAGTCCTAGAACTCCCTCTGTAGACCAGGCTGACCTTGAACTCAGAGATCCGCCTGTTTCTGCCTCCCAAGTGCTGGGATTAAAGGTGTGCAATACACCCCCCTACCCCAGGCTTATACAAGGAATTTAAGGCCAGCCTGGAATACATGAAACCCTTCCTCAAAAAAACAAATAGAACCTCTATCTACTTTCCTTTGGGCCAGAAAAAAAAAAATTTCTTGACACATCTGAGATGGAATTACTTAAAAAACATTTTCCCATAGAAAGATGAATATAAAGTAGCTATAAGATATGTGTCCATTTCAGATCCTTATGGAGGTTATTATGACAAGTAGACAACAAAGGCTTATCAAGATACATGACTGCTGCATAGTAGTGCACGCTGCTCAACAGCTACATCACTTACTTTCCACACAGGAATTATATAAATTCCTGTTATATAAAAATCACCCTTAGGACTGCTCATGAATTGATCAAATCTATAAATATTAAATCTACTGTAAGATTTGTTCAGAGGTTACTTTCATGTTCTCAAACTGCAAATTCAGGGCACATTTTTATTAAGCTCTTTTGTTTTATTCCAAGAGGAAATATTTCAGCATCATCCTCAGGCTTAAAGCAGTAAATACTGTTTCATTCTGACAGCAATATTAAAATAATCTCATAATCAAATATCAAACAAAATAAAAAAATTCCTAATTCAGATTCACATGTTCTTGTCATAGCACTAACAATCCTTGGGAACAGCAAGGCAGAATTTTAAGTTTTAAGAAGTCCTAGGAAGGAAACCCAGAAAAGAACTTTGTGCTAATATTTGAGGCCACAGAAGCCTGCTCAATATTTTCAGAAATATGATTAGATTCAACTATTCTTATTTTAAACTATAAATTTGAGGGATAATTCTACAAATTTTCCTTATCTATTGGAGTTTATAATGTAATTTGTCACATACTATTTCAATCATTTTCATCAACCACATCATAATTCCCTTAAAAATACTATTGTTACAACCATCTAAAATCAAATGGATATTAGGTAGATTATGTTTTAATCAGCAGTTCCTATCATTCCCAGACTATTGTTTTGTTAAACTTAATATCCCTTTGAATATATTTCCAATTTTTCTTACCATATATCCCATTATTTTATCTCCCCAAAAACCTTAAGTCTTACTGACATCATTATTTATCATCCACACCGCAAATTAAATTAGTATCTACCTTTTCAAGATGAATCAAATTTATAAGTGAGGAACAGACCTATGAAATGACCTATGTGTATACATAAGAATTTACAACATTGGTAAGAAATTACATGTTCATGTTGAATTCAATTAAGGTATACTTATTTTGGACCTTGAGTGAAAAAAATATTCTAGTAGAATATGAATGGCACCTAGGCAGCAAACTCTGAAGAGCCACTAAGTAAAGCTTAACTTCAAGTATAAATTCCTGCTCTGCTCAATAAGAACAATCTTCAATAAGAACAATCTTCCAGACAGATCTTGAAAAAAAAATTATACTTTAAAAAATAATTACACAATCTTATTAACTATAGAAAATTGTTCTGAGATGGTAAACTACCTGACTAAATAATACAAGTAATATCATGATAAGGAAAGAATGAGTTCAGTCCCTTTATTTCATGGTTAGATTTTTCTAATAATAAAACTTTAAGTAAATTATTTTCCAAATAGTAAAACTATACACATCAGGAGAAATACTGTTAAGCTTTCTCACCTATTCATTTCAAACAGAGTAAAATGAAGAAGTCCACTTACAATATAGTAGCTTGAAATTAGTTCCACCAAATCCAGTAGGAGTATGCAGGGAGAGCTGGCAGAACACTATTTATACCTATATTTCATTTGATGAGATAGACTAGTAAAGACTATATAGAAAATAAAAGTACAACATACAAACATGCTATAGGTACATCTGTAAAGTGACTGTGCTTTTACTCTTATATCATGAAAACAACCTATATTCAGTTGAAAATTTTTAAAAATATTTAGATCATAATTTTTATAATTTATTTTTGAAATGTAAAGCTACTAGATCAAGCAGTACAATGAGATATAAGTCAAGTCCTATGAATAAATATTTTTAAATTAACTACTTTGAGATCATAACACTGACAACACTAATTATCTTTTCTTGTCTCGGCAGTTATGGCGCATACTGTTTGGGTGACTGACGGGATAATTTAACTTAATTTTCTCTCAGTTTATTCTGAATAGTATAAGAGGAGAATATTAAAGCAATTAACGCCTCTAAACAAAGTATCTGAGAAGGTTTTGGGTTAAAATAAAATGTTAAAAAAGTTAACCAGTGGACTGACTCTAGAGCAATGACCTATGAGCAGCAATGGACTGCTGAATGAAAGCTGGACTGAGAACCACTGGCCTCTAGAAACTGCCCCTTAGCACTGCATTAACTATCCTCAGCTTTAGCCATGTTTGGTATGTATTTCTCACAAACAGACATTTCATCAACAGTTTGAGCTAATGATATTTAAATATCAAAAATATGTATTCATATTTTAAATTAATAAATGTTCTATATCACCAAAAAATGTCATCTGCCAATTCAAACAATGAAAAACAAGTAAAAGATTATGTCAAAACAAATATCAAAACAAAACAAATTTTCAATGTCTTATGTCTATATTTTTATTTTACCAATAATGACCCTATATCTAAAAGAACATTTAAGTTAATATTCAATCTCACATACAAATCCTTACTAACAGCAATTATTTGGTCACTCAAGTAGAAAAAGTATGACATACCAAACAAGTTTTATATTTGAACAGTTTAATAAAATTTGAATCATATGATGCTCATTTTGTGTATCTCATAGAAGTTATAAATCACATTAGTTAAACATACATATTACAGTAAAAGATATATTCTTTGCCTTGATCACCTGGTTTTTTGTTGTTGTTTATAAAATTAATCACAGTTAGCAGGGCAGAAATTGCTTTGAGCTTCATGAATGACATCCAAGAGATGGGAAAGGATTAGTTCTCAGTTGCTGCCAGTTATAACGCCAGGTGGCTTTTTCTGCAGTGAAGGTGTTACCGATAATCCCATTACACTGGTACTAAATCTTGCAGACATCAAAATTATCACCAAGGTTCCTTTTCATCCCATCCTTTCCAAATGACTGGAAGTCGCTTCACCTGAAAGAAGTCAAATCCACATGCAGCTGCTGTTTTAGCAGGCAGCAAACTCCCTGAGAATGCCAGTCATGATTCAATTTTGCTGTGCTGGTGGCCCCCTATTCCCTGTCCAATAATACATCTGTTAAAAAATCCTACAGCTACAAATCAAGTTTAATCCTACCAGGGACCTCATGTTGGTCTTGTCTTCCAAAAAGGCAGCAGGGTCTGCTGTCTATCTCTGCTAGTGTCTGGGGAATACCCTTTAAATCCCAGCCCTACTTAGAAGAATAAGCTAAGGATCACAAAACATGACCTCAAAAACCCTGATATGACTATATTCTGACCCAGAGGCATTCATTCTAGGTGAAGATTAGAACTTTGCATAATAAGATTACACAGCAAGTGAATGATATCAAGGGACTATCCATATGCAGCCGCCTGGTTCTGTATAGACAGCCTGTGCTGCACAATATGCACTGCCGAGAAAGAGCTGGGTCTTTTTCGCTGAAATAAAATAGATTCACATAAATTAGTTGGCCATTTCCAGAGTCCTAAATCCCCTATTACATCTTTTATTGACAGCTCCTGTGAGGATAGCACAAATGTTAGTCCTTTTTCTTCTGTGCTTCTGTAACATCATGCTCAGTAATTGAAATGTACATAGATTATGTCTTAAAATTAACGTCTTGTTTGCTGTAATCTTGGATTACAATCGACTGTGTACATAATAAAATTAAGAAATCAATGGATGGATTTATCATCTCATAGAAACTAGAGGTATTGTTTATAGAGTGGTTTAACATTTTGTGTCAGCACTTGAATTGCAAAAGTCATAAAGACTAGTCAATAAAATTTAAATGTGTCAAAGAGTATACAGGCACTGGCTAACACCTACACAAAAGTTAAATTGTGTGAAGATTAAGTCATTACTCAAAGTTAAGAAAGTGGGGAAACTCAAGGATCTCATGAATACATGACTATCTCTAAGCTATATTCTGGCATAGTCAACTATTTATGTTGATATCTACATTTTTAAAGACTTGTTTTTATTATTTTAATTTATGTAGGACTGTACAAATGAACATGGAAGTCAAAAAAGGGTGTCAGAACTCCTTTAGTTGGGAGTTACAGATGGTTAACCATGAGCCACCTGACATGAATGCTGGGAATCAAATTTGGGTCTTACGCCAAGAACATTACATGCTCCTAAGTGCTGAGTCACTCTTCCAACTCAGATCTACATTTCTTTATAAAGTGGGCACACTAGTTTTTGTTTGTTTGTTTGTTTGTTTGTTTTGTTTTGTTTTTGGAGACCAGATTTCTATGTGTTGTCCTGACTGTCCTAGAACTTGCTCTGTAGACCAGGTTGGCCTTGAACTCACAGAGATCCACCCACCTGTCTCTGTCTCCCGAGAGTTGGGATTAAAGGCATGTGTCACCACCACCTAGCTTTACATTAGATTTTTTAAGCACCCCCCCAATCATTGTATAATTACACTGTAAAGTAGCTAAACAACTCATATTAATTGTAATTCAGAGTTTTATAATTCATAAGTACATATTTTAAAATATGTCCCAGTTAAATAATATCTCTTCACAATACTATACAAAGCATGCTCAATGTAAAGAATTCTAGATATTTAGAAAACATTATTTCACAAATCACCTTTCCTTTCCTTCTTTCCCTTGCCTTTACTTTCTTTTCCTTTTTTATTTCCTTTCTTTTCTTTCCTGTTTCCTTTTCTTTTTTTCCTTTCCAAGAAACCACAGCTGTGGCTCTAAATAAACATACAAAAAGTAAGCTTCATATACCCATGCTTGCACAAGCAGCAATCTGTGTGCCTTCTGTAAAACTTAACTCCAATATAATTGAAAAGTGGCTTATTTGCTAAGTTTCATTTACCCTTAATTTCTGAAGAACATTCCTCATTCATTACACTGGCCATTATTGCATTTTCTCGGGATATTTAAGCCTATCTACATGTTGTCTGGTCAGTACTCAGTAATCAGGTCATATAATTCTGATATTGTATGTTAAGTGGTATTATTGGCAGAACTGTAAAGAAACATAATTCAGTTTCATAGCACATGAATATTCTTTAGATACCTTGAGTACATTATTAGAAAAATAACAAGGAATGCAAAAATTGCATATTTTTGTCATGATGTATTATTATGAATTTTAGAGCTATACTGCTCAAAAAAATAGTCACTAGCTCCCATGAGGCTGTTGAGTACTTTAAATGTGACCAGTTTAAACTGACGTATACTATACAAGATAATGGATGTAAAAAACAATAAAAATGGAAAAATACAACATATAAAATTTTTATATTGATACATTTGAATAGTTAGGTAACACATAAATATAGCTGGTTAAGAAAAATATTACACCGTTCACATTAAGTTGCCACTGGACAATACTGTGCTGGTTGTAGTCATACACTTTCACAGCTTATTCCTGTACTGGTTAGCTCTAGTCAACTTGACACAACTAGAGTTACCTGGGAAAAGGGAACCCCAAATGAGGAATGACTTCCATTTGGGTGGACAGGTTTGGGGGCAGGTTTTTTTGTTTGTTTGTTTTTTGTTTTTATATTAATGATTGATGTTCGAGGGCTCAGACCACTGTGGGAAGAGGCAGGTGGTCCTGGGAGATGTAAGAAAGCAGGTTGAACAAGCCATTTTCCTGAGCAAGAAAGTAAGAAGCATTTTCCCATGGTCTTGCCCCTGCTACTGCCTGAGTTCCTGCCCTGACTTTGCTCAATAATGGTCTGTGACAGTGATGAGTATGCCAAACATGAGTATGCCAAACATACTGTGTTTCTCATAGCAATGGAAAGCAAATAATGACGGTTCCTAAGCTAAATGAAATTGTAAAACACAGCACTAGAGTAGAGGGTTACTGAGGGAAAACTGTCAAAACTGACAGATATGCTTAGTACAGACCTTGTCATATAAATCTCTATTGAATATTTCTAGCTTAAAGGAAATGGAGAAGATGAGATTTCCTGAAACTGTTGGCTACTGTAAACATAAAAGGAATCATGATGTGTCAAGTTGCAAAAAAAATGCTTCAATATAGTGAACCTAGGATTTGTTTGGGCTGTTTACTTGTTCATGAGACAGGGTCTCACTATGTAGTTTCAGCTGGCTTCAAATTCTTTATTCAGCCACAGAATTGCTGGAATTACAAGCATATGTCAATATTCCCAGTAAATACTTTTGTTTTATTTTTTCCAGAAATTTTTCATCCTTTCAAACAGAAATGCAATACAAAGGTAGAATTAAAAATAAATACATCCCACATCCCCCTGGACTACTTCTGTCTGTTACACCTGCAATAGAGAGCAGCTTAAAAACATGTCAGAGTTTATAAAGCGCCATAAAGTACGTATGCAATTATAAAATTGTTCATATTCAAAACTTTTCAACATATTTAGGTTCAGTTAAAGAGAATAAAGCATTTAGTATACTTCAGAATGTTAGAAAAAACAAGATCAATTTATAAATTTTCAGTATGCTGCTTTTCCATAAGTCTTTTCATCATATCCATTAATGCTTTTTTAAGTTTTCACTTAAAAATGCTTCCATAAAAATAAGAACACCTAAAAATAGTGAAAATATGTAACATAGGCCTAACAACAGAAAAATAGAATGAATCATTTAGAATAACCACAGATAAACCATAATATGATTAAAATATAAAGTCTATCTCCACCAAGTATTCAAGTGTGATTTCAACAATACAATGCAAATTGAAATATTTAAGATATTAGCTTACTTAAAAGTTGCTTTTTCATAGTTATTTCTTTACAAAATTTACTTAATATATAATGCTATTTTGCTAATATATATAAAATATATAATGCTAATTTGAATATCTATAAATAAGATGGTTAAATGTAATCTACACTTTATTGCTTAATCATGCTATTTTTCTCTAGCTTCTTAAAATTATTTAAGTTTATCATTTTCTAGTTATAAGTATCATATAGCTATATACATACATACACACAAAAGCAAATGAAAAAACAGTAACAAAAAAACCCTTTCTAACCATCAATAGATGAGTGCAATGATATTCACTCTAAGTTAATCTCCAGACATCCAAATTCATGAATAAAAATTCATCAGTTTTAAATACACTGAGCCTATTAAGCAAGAACAAAAGCATATGCACAAAAGAGCTTTTAATATATTTCAAAGCCCACAAGAGCCATGGTCTCATTAAAATTATAAATTACACAAACATGGAATGAAGATTCAAACGGCAGTGCAGCTAAGCAGATTACAGAAAAGCCCGCGTTCCATATGATAACACACCATGGCCCTCCCAGATGGGGGCTTGGAACAAAAAGGCCATCACCACAGCTAGGGAAAACCTCCTTGTGATCTCTGGTTTCTGTTCAGCACATGACAGCCAAATAATATGTTGATTATTCTGTTTGTGCTGCTAAGCTTGTACGATGGAATAAAAGCGATATGATCTATTGTGAACCCAATGCTAATGTGTTGCTCCACTCATAAGTAATATACTGATTTTATTTTGAAATTATCTTTTATCTGAATATCAGTTTTTGAGTGCATGAATTAAAATAAAAGACAGGATAAAATAATAGTTAATTTGATACTTTAAACTAAAAAATGCAGTTGACAAGTGAAGACCATCTAAATGCTCAGTGAGAAGTCAAGTCTAATCGCCCACCTTTCTTTAACTTCTGCATTGTGATCAGAGTGTATTTTAAAATATGTCTCAAAATGGAAAATTACTCTCATTATGAACTATAAAAGTAACACAATAATAATTAACTTACTAATATACATTACTGACTAGCTAAAAGCTAAATAATTAGGGTATTCAAAAACATAATTCTGTAATGTAAATAACAGCACACATTAGAACATATAGTGACATTTTGAAAAAAGTATAATTGAAGGTCTCATAAATGTTTGCAATTTAGCCACATATGATAATCATGTGGTCCTACTTAAAATAATTTAGAAGACACTTATAATTTTTAAATAAAACTGCTAACATTAATACATTGCCTTGGTGACAAAAAGTTAAAATCTAATTTTTCTTTCCACTAAAAATGTATATTTAATATGCTAATCTTTAATAAAGGGAATTATACTCAATTTAGGTTACTAGGATTATCTATAAATGCTTCACAAAATTATATATTTCATAAATACATATTTCTGAATATCAGTGTCATTAACACTGAAAGCTGTACATTTATCTTCCTACTCCAGATATTTCTTTCTGAATAACACAGTAGATTCTCCTTAAAGACAAGTAATGAAACCAAGCAGTAACAAAAGAAGCAAAAGGACACACTGGGCAAACAGGCCTATTTTCTTAAGGAGTTACTTTATTACTGAAGGAGTTACTATGACCCTTTACCACCTAAATCAAATTCCCTTGGCTCTTTTCAAATGCAGTCTGGAGTCCAAACAGTAGAGCAAAATTGCCTCACAAGAAAATACAGTCTAGATGAGAACATGTGGGACCAGGAAGACTGAATAGGGGATGAATAGATGAGAGCAAAAAAAAAAGAGGTACCATAATAGAGGAAGCCATTATAGGTTTGAAGAGAAAACTGACTCTAGAGAAATGTCCAAAGATCCACAAGGATGACCCCAACTAACAATCTGAGCAACAATGAAAAGGCTACCTTAAATGCCCTTCCCTGATAATGAGATTGATAACTATCTTACATGCCATCCTAGAACCTTCATGTAGTAGTTGATGGAAACAGAAGCAGACACCCACAGCTAAACATTGAGCTGAACTCCTGGAATCCAGTTGCAGAGAGGAGGAGGAATAAGAAAAGGGGTCAAGATAAGGCTACAGAAACACACAGAGATAGCTGACCCAAACAAGGGGGAGCTCATGGACCCCCAGACTGATAGCTGGGAAACCAGCACTGGACCAACTCAGACCCACTGAACATGGGTCTCAGTTAGAAGGCCTGGACAGTCTAAGGGACCTCTGACAGTTGAACCAGGATGTATTCTTGGTGCATGAAAGGACTTTGGGAGCACATTCCCCATGGAGGGATACTCCCTTAGCCTAGAGACAGGAGGGAGGGCCTAAACCCTACTCCAAATGTCTTGACAGATTTTGATGATCCCTCCTGGAAGGCATCACCTTCCCTGTGGAGTGGGTAGGGAATGGGATGGGGGAGGGGTAGAGAGGATTGGGGGGCATGGGATCGATATGTAAAATAAGAAAAAATAATAAATAAATAAATAAAAATATAGTCTAGAATGGCTAAGTCTAAAGGACAAAGATATGCTAAGATAACTTAACATATAACATACCTAAGCCTATATAATTAACATGTCTATATCTAGCTATTAATATTCAACATTAAATAATTTCTAACTATATGTCACCTTACCATACATTTAAGGTCTCTAATAAAACAAATTATACTTACATCATACTCTTCTAGTACTCCACAACTGTTTTTGTCAAGATGTATCAAATTTAAAATATCACTCTAATTAGCTTATGATGATAGTTATGTTTCCTAGTGAAAACAATGTATCATTTATCAGAAATAAATTTTATATTTATTTATGTCTGGCTTTTGAGATAGGATCTTACTTACCCCTATTTGCCTAGAACTGCTATGTAGATCAGGCCCATATTGAACTCACAGTGATCTTCTAGCCAATGCCTGCCAAATGCTGGGATTATTGGCATGTATTGTGATGCCAGACAGATGATTTTTCTTTTTGTTTATGTGAGTGTCCCTGAGTCTATGTATGTGCACTACATGTATATAGTAGCCCCAGAAATCAGGAGAGAGTGTCAGATATCTGGCACTAAAGTTATGGGTGGTTGTTAGTTGCCATGTGGACACTGGTACCCTAACCCAGGTTCTCTGTAGTAAATATTCTTAACCACTAAGCTATCATTCTAGCCCCTTAGAAAAAATTTTAAAAAGTGACAGTAACCAGGATTTGTGACGAATGTTCACTGCAATGACTTTTAAAACTGGCTAAGTATAGACACACCAAATAATTGCCAAATGTCTGAACTGTATTCACAGCAAAGAGATAATGTAAAATAATGGAATATAGATGACCTCTTAAAACAAAATGTTGAATGAAATAAGAAAATAGATACTATTTTATAAAGAGACAGGTGGTGTTGGCTCAGTACTTTGCTCCCAATACTCAGGAGGCAGAGGCAGGTGGATCTCTGTGTTTTAGAGGCCAGTCTGGTCTACCAGTTGAAGCTACTTGACAGCCAAGACTACACAGAGTCTTGAAAAACAAAAAATCAGAAATTCTTTGGGGCTGGAGAGATGGCTCAGAGGTTTAGAGCACTGGCTGTTCTTCCAGAGGCCCTGAGTTCAATTCCCAGAAACCACATGGTGGCTCACAGCCATCTACAATGAGATTTGATGCCCATGCCCTCTGTATACACAATAAATAAATAAATAAATAAATAAATAAATAAATAAATAAATCTTTAAAGAAAAGTGGTACATAGACATATGTGCAAGCAAAACAGCACCCACATAAACACACACCAAAAAAATAATTAAGAAAAAGAGGCAAAATATAAACATACTGTTCAGGAACACCCATAAAAATTAAAAATTATATAGAAATAATATAAAAACTTACAGCAAAAGGTAGACTGTCACCTCTAAAGAAAAGGGAGATTAAATTGGAAATGACAAAATATAATCAGCAGTCTCAGGATGCTTAAGTCCAGGAATATGAAACCAATAGTTAGACTCCCATCACTAGGGAGAGGAAGAGGGAGAGAACTGCATTAGTGCTAGTGATGCTCTAGGTATATGGGGGTTTGGGTTTGTTGTATCAGTATTTCACAATCACTCCATATATTTGACTATGTTTCCTTATAACCTTACATTATGCAATGTGAAGTTTTAAATTACGCATTATCTGTGATAATGTATTCTTATCATGTATTCTTGCTGAGAAAAAAAAAAAGGCTCCTGCTCTTGTTAAAAAAAAATTTACATTCTTGGTCTGCATTTATAATTTTTGTTGAAATGTTGTAATAACAAAGGACTACTACTATGGCTAATTCGACATAATTACAACAAAGTATGGATTTCACATGTTTGCAATAGTTATAAAAATATAGGAGGCCTGGAAATAATGTAAGATCAATTATTCTGCTTAATTTTCACTTATGCACTTAGTGTTATTTCTGCTATTTTCTTCTTTAAATTTAAACAAAAAAAAAATGTATACTTACTCTAAAAATTCCAGATTATAACCAGATAATTTTGTGCAGGTTGCACTCACAAAAAAATAAAAATATTTAGCTTGAAGGCATTGTTTCTTTCTTCTCTCATATGGTTTAAATCAATTTTAGGATGACTTTTGTATATGTATGATAAGGTCTATGATACGTTAGCTGTAGATATAATATTTGACGTCTGACCCACTGTCATTCTGTGAAGTATATACCCTATATGCTAGCAAATATGGCAGACTAAAGTATGTAACATTTAAAGACAAGTCTATAAAACATGAAGCATAGGTTGTTCATTCAAAACAGATACAATATAATCTAGTTTAAATTACAGTGACACAGTTTCAACTATTGGAGAAGGGAGTTATTTAAGGTCCACATTGACAGGCATCCCTGAATATGCATTTGCTCTAACTTCTAGGTGCCACTAAACAGGAAGCAACCAAAAAACTTGAAAACTGTACTGTACTAGATTAGCTACATGGTGTCAGCAGTATAGCACTATTTTGAGGAAAGCTTTGGTGAATGTAGTAAGGATCCCCTGGTGGGGACATGAGGAGCAGCCAAGCAGTTCTTTGCTCACCTACTTAGTGCCAACCTTAGAAAGTCACATTTTGTCCAGCAGGGAGCAGCCTTACAACAGCCAAAGGACTTAGCTTGAACATGAATCCCACAGAAAAAAAAGGGGTTTTGGTTTTTTTGTTTTGTTTTGTTTTTTACGTTCACTTACCATAGGTCTCTTCAACATTTCATTCAACTTAGTGTAGTTGCAAGTTTTCCAGCAAAACCCAAATCTAAAGCAGGTCTTGAAGTGTATGTGAGTCATCCATGGTTGCAGATTCCTAAAGCAGTAAATCACAGCTGTGTTAGGTCATCTCTGACCAATGTTGGGCTAAATTAATATATGGTTGAAAGTAGACATTTCTCAATGAATTTTATCTTCCCTTAATGGGGCAACAAGAGTCTTTAATTTGGATGTTCAACAACATTGGACCTTTATCAAAAGATAGTATTCAAGTCTTTTTATCTAAAAGATTTAAGAAGAAATAAATTAAAAGACATAACAGGATAACAGGTTGTGTAAAAAGCTAAGCATTGAAATCAAGGAACTGATAAGGCAGCCATGTACACTTTTATACTTTTGCTTTTACAGATCAGCATGCATAGCTAATGACATCTTTTCCTTTTGACAGGGTTTTTCTATGTAGTCTTTGTTGTCATCAAACTTGATTTGTAGACAACCATACTGGCCCCAACTCACAGAGATTTTCCTGTCCCCAGAGTTCTGGAATTAAAGACCATTTACCCTTATGCCCAGCTAATTTTATAAATGGAAACATAGTAGAAAATAGTTCATAATGCTGTTGTGAAAAAAGATTAATCACTTAATGAATATGATGACTGCACATGATACTATAGAAAAAAAACTTATGACCAATTGAAGGGCAAAATATTTTTAATGTGAAGACCTATGATATGTTTAGGTACAATGACACTACATCAGCTCTTATAACTTAAAGACACAAATACTTTTGTCTCTTCTTCTACTTGAAATGCCAAAGTTTTCATTGTATGTGTTTATATACGGCTTTTCAGTGTTCACACCAAATAACCAATTTCTGTTTTGAAAAGAAGTTGATTATCAATCTTCAAATAAATATAATTTGGGGGATTTTGTGTAAAAGTCTGCTTAAATACATTCATTCATCTATTAACAAGCACTATAATCTTAATTTCATTGTATTGCAAGTCTCAAACATTCTTATATTTATGCTACTCATGAAAATAATTTCTAAGTTATGTAAGCATCTGAACTCTTCCTAAACATTTTAGAGTCAATATCAAAACACTTAAACTCACTGTACCTTTGTTCCCATCAGTTACAGACCAACATCATTTTAATAAAGAAGTAGTTTAAAATCTTGGTATAACGATGTACACTAAACAACAAAAAAAATCTTTTTTTCTTTCTGCTTTTTTGAGACAGGGTTTCTCTGTGGCTTTGCAGCCTGTCCTGGAAGTCGCTCTGTAGACCAGGCTGGCCTCAAACTCACAGAGATCTGCCTGCCTCTGCCTCCTGAGTGCTGGAATTAAAGGTATGTACCACCACCGCCCAGCTTAAACAACAAATTTAAGTCAACACAACTTTAGTGTTATTAATGTGCAAACTAATAAACAATATCCTCAACAACTTCTAATATAAAGACTGAAAATGATTTCTCTAGCACTCTCTAGTACTAATATTAACATGAAGTGTATTAGCATGTTGACAGACATGTATTTATTGGGAGGGGAGTGCATGCCTACCATAACATCTATAGAAAGAGAAACTGGCAGACAGTTTGCTCAAACTGGTTCTCTCCTATCATGTGGGTCCTAGGGTTGGAACTCAGGTCACCAATCTTGGCAGCACCTTTAATCATCAAGAAATTTCAACAATCCATGAGCCATCTCATCAATCCATGAAATAATTTTACCAACTACTTGTTCATAAGCTTTTGATCTTTAGAAATATATTACTAAAAAGTTTGCATTATAAATTACTATTATCCAAAAGAGATGAGTGGATTCAGTAGTGTCTTACTTCCAGTAAGAACCATAGGACATGATCATATATTATTTGTAATAGAATGAAGGTACAGATAAACATGAGATTATACTAGAGAGGTAACAAATCCAATAATAATGTCCCATGAAACACAGAACAATACACAGAGCCATGAGGAGAGGACATTATGAAACTGGGGACAGGGTCCGGAGTCATGGTTTTACAACCAAGAATATTAAGAGCAGGCAGAACCAGAAAGGAAAAGTCGTTTCTTAAATATCTGGGATGAATTTGGCCCTGCTGACATGCAGACAATACTTGGTACTCTTGATGTTCTGAAAAAGTAAGTTTTCTCTGCAGCCACCAAGTTTACGCCAGTTTTTTAAGGTGAGCCTAGGAAATTCTTGTATATTTTCCCAACACAAAGTGGGGTATTGCTCTAGCAGATGCTTATAACAGAAAAGCTCAAATTGTCTTGAAGAGAGACTACATGTTAAAATATAGACCTCCCTTACAAGTATCATGCCTACAGAAAATTCTGGCTCAAAATGACAAGTCTAACAATACTCCTTTCAAAAATTGTTCCCAAACAATAGTATGTTTAACTAACATAAGTAAACACTGAAGACAGTGAGGAGCATGACTATACTAGAGACCTTGAAGGGTTGCTAGAATATAAAGTATATAAAATCATAGAAACAGGTAAAAACAAACAAACAAACAAAATGTCCAGCACATAGGCTGAAAAACTACAGTTCATAGGATAAGTCTTTCAACTGCCATTTACTTTTGTAGGGCAACACAAAGAAGTGCCATGCTCTTGACTTTCAAAGTGTTGCAAAGGAAAAAGAAGACTATGCTGTGACATATAAAAACTACATGAAATTCAAATTTCAGTTCTAACATAGCTGTGCTCAACCGTTAATGCCAGCTCTCATGATTTACTCGTGAAAGAGTGAGTAGTTTCAAGCCAAACCTACATCATTAACTGTTTGGTCTCAGAAAGAGATACCCACTTACAACCAAGCACAAATATATCTTGTCTTGGTCTTCTTCGGGAATAATAAAGGTTAATCAAATGGAATAAAATATATTATCTGCCTAAAAGGTGCTTGGCATCTAAAATGTGGAGTGATAAACTAGGATAGAGTATTATCCATTTGCTATTAGAGAAGTAATTTAACATTTTTTTAATATGGTAATATTTTTATTTAAATTTGAAACAAGCTTGTTTTACATGTCAATCCCAAGAATTTAACATTTTCATAAAATTACAAGATTGTATAAAATGACAAGACTGGGTCTAAGCAGAAAGCAAGTACTCAACAGCTATTAAAATGATTTAAATATATAAGGATATGTATGATATGTACTGGTGACATATTTGAAATGGAAGCCACCATCACCAAATCTTTCTAGTTGATGTGTTGTTGCTAAAGCTTTAAGCTTGTTGCTTTTTTTTCCTGAATGTGACATTTTATTTTCTGTTTTTGTTTTTTGTTTGTTTTGTTTTGTTTTGAGACATGGGTGTTATGTAGCTAATGCCAACCATGAACACCTTATTCTCCTTCTCCACCTCGTTAGGAGTATAGGATTGGGTTCAAGCCTGAATGTGATGCATGCATGCATACAAGCAGGAAGGAAGGAAAAATAAAAAGTAAATAAAGTCGTTCTGACAACATTTCCCTTTAGTTCCAGCACCAGCAGGCAAAGGTAGGCAGATTTCTGTGAGTCTCCATGCCAGCCAGGATTATATAGTGAGACTTTGTCTCAAAATGAATGAATGAATGAGTGAATGAACACTCATTCAACACTTGTCAACAGTAGTAATTCCATGACTCTGGTGTTGACTCTGGACTATGTTTTTAGTTCAAACAGTGCTTATCTTGAATGTCTTTTAAAGTAACCAATTCCTCCGCCAGTTCTCATTTGAATAAATAAACTAAATCTAAAAAAATCTAAATAACATGGGTTTTCTCCCACAAATAAAACTCAGTGTAATAGAAAACCTCTTCATTCAGACTTCACAATCAGTAGAAAATGAAGTACAAATGAGTCTAATTCTACTTAGATTTAAGGGGAAACTCAGGTATTTTCCGGTTTTGCAGCTGCTTCATAGAGCAACAATTAAATGTGTGAAGATGGTTGGCAGAGTAACACTTGTCATTCATACTGCTCAGGAAGGACTCTCCAAGATTTCCAGAAACCTTAATTAAAATCGAGGAAAGCTGCTCACAGGGAGAAAGCCCAACAGCCCAATAGCCTCGAAGTTCCTGGAGGCAAGCTTCTAAGGAAAGTCTACTATCCAACCCACTTAGTCCCGGGCTCTAACTGGCTAAGCCCAGGCACTAACCAGCCACTGAAGTCACCGTTACATCCTTTCCAGACAGTAAACCATTCGGAGGAAAGGTGGTCTCACGTGGGGAAGATGGGGCTTACTCTCCTTAGAAACCAGAAAAGCGAGAGCAGCGTGTCTCTGTGCCAAACAGGAGGGGAGACGAGAGCTCTACAACTCGCAGAGGCTGAAGAAACCCTGCGGGCGAAACGCTTCTCCAGCCTTTTTTTTTTTTTCCCCCTCCGCGGGAACGCAGGCACTCGCACACCAAGAATGCCTAAGGACAGTACCCACCTGCGGCCCCAAACACCAACAGAAGTTCCTCAACCAGAACTCAAGCGGACCTGGTTAACCTGGAACCCGGACGGTCCTCCGGCTGTACGTCCAGAGCACTTTTCAGCAATCGGCCTTGCGATTGGTTGAGCGGCAAAGAACGTCTCATTTCTATTGGCTACCGGTGGAGGTAGGCGGGACTTAGGGGCTGTCTCTGACAGGCCAGCCGCTCGAGTTCCCAGAGTTCCTATTGGCTCATCGTAGGGGCGTCAAGATGGCGGCGGCAGCTACCTGCAGCGCGGGAGTCCTTAGCTCTGGGTGTGTGGCATCCACTGCCGGCCCGAGCGGCACCACCAGCTTCCAGAGGAGGAGCAAGACCTCTGGGGCTGACGCGGGTGGCCCTCGGCTGCTGTCCATTGCGGGCACGCGACCGTCGGTGCGGAATGGACAGCTGCTGGTGTCAACTGGGCTCCCAGCCCTGGACCAGCTCTTAGGTCGGTTCAGAAAGATGAGGGCTCATCCCAGAGAAAACTTGGGGAGGGACTCCCGGGGCAGCCCCTCACCCCTATGCCCTACTCAGCCCTGAGCACCCCTCTCCCCTTCACAGACGTGGTCGGGGTAGCCGGGGAGGGGGGTGGCTTGGAGATGTCTTAAGATCTGTGCACTAAGCCGGTCTTAGAACCCACACTCCTTGCTCCGCTCTGCCCAGCAGATGACCAGGACTCTCTGTGTGCTTTTACATAAAATGATTCCTAATGAGAAAGAAACATGAAAAGGAATTGACTTTTAGGGTCTTCTGCTGGTCTCTGTGACACTCTCCTTCCAATCCCAGGTACCTTAAAGCTAGGACGAACCTACAAAACTTTGCGATGTTATAGAAAGGTTTCTTCAGAAAATGCTGAAAGAATTCCCCTCTTTTCTACTGCGGGCTACTTATCTTCTTAAATTATAAGAGGTGTTGGCTCTAAAAGAGTGGATTTAAGTTAAAGATGTGTGTTTACTCAAAGGAATGACAGTTCTTGATATTCGATTCGGATAGTTCTACACCCGAATATCTTAAATATGTTCACATGTTTATCAAAATCTGTGGAATTTTTTTCATTCAAAGCCTACTGGAGAATATACTTGTTTCATAGAAGTCATTTGTTGAAAGGATTGACTAAATTAAGTTGATAGGACAGGCTAAATTACGTCTGAACAGATGTGTGCTTACATTTTGTAAGCTTTTGTTCAAGGTATTTGCTATGTGTTAAATATGGTACATTTTTATAATAGATTACAATTGCTGTTGCGTACTCTTGTATTTTATTTAGCATTTTCTCGGGGATATACTCCAGGTTTTTCAAGTCAGTTAGCAAAAAGGAAAATGACAAGACAAGCTGTCAGAAACAGTATGGTTTATTGATTCTATTATTTCATTTTCTAAATGGATTCTAATTGTTTTCTACATAAATTTAAACTAGTTTCACATAATTGTTTCAAATCCATTGAGTCGTGTGAGGCTAGAAACATAATTAAAATGCATAGTTGGCAAATATTTCACTTTTTTCCCCCTTATGGCCTCAATTAGTATGGATTTGAACCCAAAGCTTAGAAGATTGGCCTGTTATAGTGAACTCTCTTCCAAAAAGAAATTAATGTATAAGCTTTAATGACAGCAGATCTTTCCTATCAATCGAGCTTGTCAGTCATTTCTACTCCTTCAATGTTCATATTTTTCATTAAATGGGATAGGTTAATTTATTCAGTTGATACTAATCAAACTACAAACAAAAAGGCTGCATTTTTCAGTATTGTGCTTTCATTTCCTCGTTAAAATAGCAAAATGTGCCTAGACCAGAGCCTGGCACACAGTAGTTTTTATAAATCAAGATTGAAAGAAGGGGGGGGGGAGACTAAACAAGAAACTGTAAGTATGAAAAATAGAGTTTGGCATTTGAGCTCCAAAAACTGATTCAGAAATTTAATGGTATGAATATTCACAAAACTCCCAACTAAATTTAGTCTCTGTACTTATAGAACCTATTGCTAATTTGTGAGAACTATTTTCAGGGTGTTTTGACAGTTTACTGAACTTAAGATTAATTATTTAACTACAGTTTCTTTACACCTACCATAAAGAACTAAGGTCATTAAAAGACATTTAACTTATCCCCATTTGATAGTGTTTTAAGGACTGTTCAAAATTTCCAACTATTAGAATTTTGATAAACATAAGATTTATAATTTTTGAATGACATTTTCCTAAATTAACAGAAAAAGAATTTTATTTAGATCATTTTTCAAAAACCAACCTCCATCCTTTGTGGGATTTGCAATATGCTCTGCTTAGCTAGTTCCTCCTTGTCTGTTGTTGCTACCATCATTATCTCTTACCAAGATAATACACATTGAGTGATAGGTTCTAATCTGAAAAGCATTGCAAAAACAGCAAAGGAATCTCTTACTGAGCATGCTGGATTTTACATATTACTTCATTTTCATTGACCAACATATCATTGTTCCACCATGAGGAAAATATAGTTGAACATGTTAGCTTATGCTTGTAATCTGAGGGCTGAGGAGGCTGAGAAGAGTGTTCTGTGAGTTCCAGCCCAGCCTCAGCTAAAAAGTGAGATACTATCTCAAGCTTTAAAACCCTTTGCCTTTTATTCCACTGAAAGGTAGATATGAAAGGGAAGTAGACCAGGAACATTAGCCAACCTTTTATAGTAACAACTCTGAGTTGGACACTAGAGTGTAATTTTATATTCTTAAAAAGAATGACCATTAGGGCATTAAATGTTTGTTTGTTTGTTTCCACTAAAGGAAGGTAGGATGTAAAGTTAAAGCTAAATATGAAAGTTAACAGTGGCCTTTGTGTAGCACAAACTTAAATTAAGCATTTAGTCTAATCCATCTAAAAGCAAATTATACTTGGATCCTTTATGAGTGCTGTCTTAATGAACATTTCACTCTGTTAATCTTGAAATTGTCCTCATTAGTGTGGTCTACATTTTATGTGTTACAGTGTGGAAAGTTGTCTTCATGTATAATTAAATTATAATAAATCCAGTTAAAATTGTATAAATCCCAGTGCATCAGTGGTAGAAAGAAGAGGGTCAGGAGTTGAAGCTTCAACCTCAGCTCCAGGGAAATGAAGCCCAGCCTAGGCTACAAAAACCTCACAACAGTTTGCGCGCACACACACACACACACACACACACATACAGAGTGAGAGAGAGAGAGAGACATTAGAGAGGGTGAGAGAAAGAGAGAGATGCCCACATATACATACAAACATATGTAAATATACTAATGTTTGAAGTGTCTGTCACTAATGGTTTTGAATTTTTTTTCAGATTGTTTTCAATTATTCAGCTATTACCCTAAATTAGTACATTCCACAATTTATTTCAATTTATTCTGAGAACATGTTAATAGATTTAGACTGTTTGATACAAAAAGTGTGTTTTTTGTTCAAGAGGAAAGAAACACTATTAAGGGAACTTTTCATATTAAAATTTTCCATATATTTGCCACTAAATTTTGGGAAATATTTTGGGAAAGAGGTTTTTATTGATGTTCAAAATGTTTTATGGTTTTGTAATGATACACACAAACCTTACCAAGAAAACTATCTTCACTTATTCAACAGCTTCGATTACCTTTAAATAATGCAACAAATACATTTTTGGTCATTTTTTAACATGTATTTCTTAATTTTAAAGTACATTTAGTAGTTTCTGAGACATTAATTCCAAGTACTAATACTTTTACAGATGAGATGAACAACTTTCCTCTTTAGCATACTTCTGATATCTGAAAAGTGAATTTTAGTGACTATTTGAATAATATATTAGCTTCATTTAATTACTTAAAAGAATTCACTCTAATATTAGTGAAAATGTATTTTTGATTATTGCTTTTTATTAGAACTGACAAAAATAAATTTCATATTTAAGCACTTCTAGACTTTGGATATGTTATACTTTTTCTAAAAATAGTTGGAATGATTAGTTCCTATGAGATTTGTTCAATTTGAAAACAAAGTAGAATTTTTAACAGTTTGCACATTTGGATCTTGGCTCTTGAGTTAGTTTATTAACAAGTGCTAAATAAATATAACATTGAAGTGCTTTACCACAGTTGTATTGCGTGCCTCCTGGTTCTGTCTGGAAAAGGGGGGGCACAATAATATATTTGGGAAGTAAATATGATATGTAGTATATAATTACAGATGACATGTAACTATATCATAATAACACACTGAACAAAGTATTACAAAGATAGTTCAAATATTGTTTACACAGGTAGTTTTTAATATTATTGAGGTAACTGTTCTTGGTAAAGTCTAAATTTTGTGCTAAAGAAAATCTAGAAAGTGAGTGACTAATGTTGTTCTTGTGTATCATTTCCAGGTGGAGGTTTAGCTGTTGGAACAGTTCTTCTGATTGGTTAGTATAAAAATATATGATGTGATCCTTCTAACTAATTCTGTTTTTGTTTGTTTTGGTTTTGTTTTTTTCATACAGGATTTTTCTGTGGCCTTGGGGGCTGTCCTGGAACTATCTCTGTAGACTAGGCTGGTCTTGAATTCACAGAGATCTGCCTGCCTATCCCTCCAGAGTGCTGGGATTAAAGGCGTGTGCCACCACCACCTGGCCTAACCAATTGTGTTTTGTACATGGTGGTTTTATGACTTTCTCACTCTGAAAATGAATATTTAAAGGATGAGCACTCCATGGATGTAAGGTCATTTTAGAACTTGTCAAAATAAATTCTTTAATTAAAAATTGAGATGGGCAGGTGTAAGGATTAAGGTTTTTCCGCCTGCCACTGGTCTTGTCCCGCTGCAGCGCCAGCCCCAAATAACACACCGAGACTCTGTATCAGATATTAATGATATTGGCCAGGTACTAGTTTCTTATCGGCTAGCTCTGTCTTAATTATTAACCCATTTCTATTTATCTAGTATTTCCACGTGGTCTTATCTTACTGGGGAGAGGCGGCTGGTGGTTCTGCTCTCTCCAGACTCTCCATCTTGACTCCCCCTTACTACTTCCTCTTTCCTCCTGTCTCCTAGTCCCGCCTATCTTGCTTTCCTATTGGCCAACAGTTCTTTATTCATTAACCAATATGAGAAACATATTTACAGAATGACATCTCCCATCATCTCCTCTTTTTTGTCTAAAATAAAAAGAAGGGTTTTAACCTTAACATAGCAAAATATATAACACAACAGTTATCAAGTAAGAATCACAGTTAACAATATTTAGTCCATTAACATTTAGTAAGATTTAAGAAAATATTCCATCATCTATTCTATCTTTGTGAGTCTAAAGTCCTATATGTAACTTATCTTTAATCCTAACTAAGGAAAACTATAACCATAACTATCTGTCTTCAACTCCTTCAAAGACCACTGATGGGAGATGTCATTCTGTATGTTTCTCATTCCGGGTAATAATAAAACTTGTGGGCTAAAGAAAAGAAAAAAGGAGGGGGGGGGAGGGGAGAAAAAAGAAGGGGGAGGGGGGGGAGGGGGGAGGGAAAAGCGGCCGGGGAGAACAAAAAAATAGTATATAAACTCTAGAAATGACAGAGACAACTCACTACCTGGTCAGTCACCTGAAGTTCTTCTGGGGGGTGGCGGGCCGACAGGCAGCGGCAGGCAGAAAAATCCTTCCACCACAGACCACAGGAAGTAAAAACTCTAGAAATGCAGCACCCACTACCTGGTCAGCCACCTGAAGTCTCTGTAATCTTCCATCTTCAGCCCATAGGCCATATTATGTCTGACAGACTCTTCAGCAAAGCAGGAAACTTTAAACTATCTTCTTGTATTGGCAGTTTGTCAGTCATTTTTCTCTGTGTCCTGCAGACTGTCTCACAGACTCTTCTATGAAGCAGGAACTCTGTAGCAATGTCCATCTTGAATCAGCAGTCACTTTTCTGTGGGTCCTGCATGTCCAGTTTATACAGCATAAAGTCAAACAGTCCAGACAAGAGCAGCATCTTGTACAAATGGCTAGTCTTGCCATATTGGAAGTAAACTCCATGAGTTTCTTCAATGTCCATCTTCCTTTCTGATGTAGATGGTGTTGCCAAGAGCAATTGTGCCTCATTGTCAAGAAAAGCCCTAAACCATTTTAAATGCCATATTCTGTAGGTCTTTGAAAGGTTTGAAGAAAGCCTATCAATCTCAAATTCATCTCTATGTATCCTTGAAAACCTAACTTAACTCTAAATTTTGACTATCATAGGTAATTATAATTTGTACTGAATTATACATTACATTTCTAAATGAGCTATATAAACACAATACCTAAACAAAAGGAGAAATATACATATCACAAAATTGACCTTAAATTATATCAATAAATGAAAATCCATTCCAAAGCAAAGTAATCAATAAATGAAAATCCATTCCAAAACAAAGTATTCATATCTATACCATAATTCCTTTTTACCGTTAAAAAGAATTGGCTGTGATCATTAACCATTTATAACCAACCCCATTGAAATGAAAACAAACATTTATAAACAATATTTGGGAATTTGGGCGTAGTTCTTTCCAAACTACTTCCTGCTGGTAAAGGGCGCTGTCTTGGGGATCCTAAGAAGATGAAGAAATCCTGGCTGTAGTCTGCAAGGCTGCCTTGTTCAAGCTGTTTTGAATGTTGGATCGCCCTGAACTGTGTTTCAGGGGGTCTGGCTTGATCAAACCATGTTAGTCTAGAAGGAATCCACAGCTTTTCATTTTCTGTGGAAACTAAAGTAGAAATCCTTTTCCCCAGTAACTTGTCCTTAGGCTTAAATTTTGGAGCCAAAGCATTTTTAAAATATATAAATTGAATTAATCCAGCAGTATTTCCTTTAACAGTTGTTTCCTCAGCAGTCAAATGATATAAAGACAACAGAATAGCATATACCATCCATAATTTTTTTGTGTTTTCCATCTTTACATGGCTTTTTTATTGCTCTGTTTTTTTACTTTCTATTTTTTCATTTTTTGAGACAGGGTTTCTCTGTATAACTGTTATCTGTCCTGGAATTTACTCTGCAAACCAGGTTTACTTTTCAAAAACAGAGATCTACTTGCCTCTGTCTCCCCAGTGCTGGGATTAAAGGCGTGTGCCACCACACCCAGTTCCTCACTGTACCATTTTATTCCTTTTCTCTCCCAAGCCTACATATATTTTAGAACACGCTGTAAACCTTTAGAGGATTTTTTAATGTGAATCTGTCTTTACTGTAAATGTTTATCTTTTTCTGGCCACAAGTCTTTATCTGGTAAACAACAACATTGCTAAAATGAAAGTCATAGTTGTTTCTGCCATGGTTTATCCAAGATGGCAGTGGGTACTTTTACCGGCAGCAGTGAGAGTTGTACTCACCTCCTTGGTCTACTCTGCCGTCAAGCAGCATGTTGCCAGCTTGGAGATGTGGCCATCGCCATTGCCAGCTCTCGTACACACCAATGAATTGTTAGCAGTGCTTCTTAAAAGCCATGCGGTTTTTTGCAGCTTATGCTGGGTCAGGAATTCTCCCTTAAGGGAGCCGCGCAAATATCTGCTTGTCTCTCACAAAGCCAAGTCCAACTGAGAAAAATGCTGCTACCAAGAAACCTTGCTTATTTCTGTTCTTTTGTTTGTAAAACCTTTTTTTAAGCTTTTGTTAAATTTTAAGTGGAAGTTCTTATTAGCCACGTGGGCGCCATATGTCAGGAGTGAGGTTTTTTCCCTCCCACTTCTGGTCTTGTCCTGCCGCCGCACCTTCTTTTTTTTTAGATAAGAAGCTGAATCCCTGGAAAACTCAAGTTGTCTAGAACATCTCATTATTTATTTCTGCTTAATCACTGAGGAATACTGATAATAAGTGTAGAGTTGTCCATTATTTGGTTCTTGCTGTGAATCATGTATTATGCAAAGTGTTTTATGTATGTTTCTTTCTTTACTTAATATGATCACCTTATAAACTATTAAATTTGTATTACCTCTATAATCCATGAAAGTAGATTTGAGGGATGAAATAACTTTCAGTTTCACATAGGTAGTAAGAAAACCAAGATTAGAATTTTACTTTGAATCTAGGTACATGAATTTGTTTTTGTGACTGAGAAGTTTTTATCTTGTAATTTCTTTATTACTTTTGAGACTGTTATACATAAATACTTATATTTACTTCAAACTCATTTCTCCCTCTATTCTCACAAATTCCATTTATGTCTACTCTCATATTCATGACCTCTTTTTAATTATTGTTACATATATATGTATTATATACATGTATATGTGTACATGTATGTATGTATACATATACTCATGTACACATATACATACATACCCTATTTAGTCTGTTTGGTGTTGTTTGTGTGTGTGTGTGAATGGGTCTGTGTGTGTGTGTGTGTGTCTGTTTATAGCTGATCATTTGGGATAGGATAACCTATCAAGGGGCTTATTCCTAGGGGAGACTGGATCTCTGTCTCTCAGAAGCTATTAATTGCTTGTAGCTCTTCACCTATGGGTGGACACTTGTGGGAAAATTTCCCTCATCCACATTAGCATGTCATGTGGCATTGTTATTCTTCTGGTCTTGTTTAGGAAAACATATTGTTGAAACAGTGTGGGTGCTAGTTCTCTGTCCTAGAAGACACTTGTAGCACAAATAAAAACCACACAAGGGACTGTGTGGAAAAAACACTGGAGGCTGGAGTGGCCTGAAGGCAAAGCAATCCAGTCCTACTTGGAGCCCAGGTGCTTCTGGAGTTTGGGTATCAGCTGAAGATTGTTTAGTGAGGCTACAACAGGAAAATCCCAAACTCGTTCAGAGGTTTGGAGATAAAAGAAAGTCTAGCCAGCTGGTCAGTGACTCCAGTGGAAACCCTGCTTGCAGCTCCTGGCCTGTGCTGGTGGCTGCAAAGACACAGGAAAATGGCTTTTTTTTTTTTTTTTGTCATGAATGCATACCTTTAAGTTGGTATGTATGTAAGTTGGCCAGTATGTAGCACAAATAATAAAAATGCAGAGATAGATACTGGAATTAAAGCTGAAGATCAGAGAAGCAAAGGGGCCAGCCACTAGAGTTCTCACCTCTACCAATGCTCAGACAGAAGGGGTGATTCTATCCTCTGAATCTCCAAACTGCACTGCTCCTCAGACTGTCTAGACTGCAGACTGAATACACTCCACTCCTGTCTCCACCTGCCTTATACTCCTCTCTCCACCCAGCCATATCACTGCTGTCTGCACCTCCCTGCTGCCATTAAAGGTGTAAGTTTCTGTTTCTCTTTTAGACTTATTTCACTCTCATGTAGCCCAGGGTGGCCTTGAACTCACAGAGATCCATCTGCTTCCGTCTCCTGAGTGCTGGGATTAATGTGTGTACCACCACTGCCTGACCTCTATGACAATGGCTATTTTTGCACTCTGATCTTCTGGCAAGCTTTATTGGA